CATGGGATGGAAATGCAATGATGATGCATGGGAGATGTGCACGACAATGCAAAGGGGTGCGTGTTGCAACGCATGTAACACGTGCATATCAATGCAAATGTGTGGCGCGCGACAGTGCGATGTAATGCACCGAAGTAGTGTGATGAACTTGTGCAACACACATGGGGCAACTTTTGAATTCAAAAGGATACAAAAAGGATACACCTTGCATGAATTCGAGTGCCACGCTCTGGAGACACGGCCTGCGGTCAAAATGGAGGTCGGTTGAGCGTCGGAGATGCACTTTCTTGCACTTTCTAGAGCTATGAAGACCACAAACTTCTCAAATGGCCTAAACAAGGCTGTGGGAACCCCACCGGCCGAAAGATGAGGCCACCGGCTGGCCATCGGCACAAAAACAATTCCATCGGCACAAAAAAGTGCCGACCGGCACAAAACATTGCCGACCGGGAAACAGTTGCTGGTGCGAGGCAGTTTTGTCTTTCCACCTCGAGTGTTATAAAATAGGGCTTCATGCCCTATTTCCTCATTTCCTCACGCCGAAATCTCTTGTTCTCTCTCTCTAGAGCTTTTTCTCTTCCCCGTCTCTCTCTCTAGAGTGCTTCTCTCTCATTTTTCGCCCGTTTCTTCGCGTTCTACGCTCGTTTCATCGTCGGATTCGCGATCCTCTCCGCGTTTCGGACATTTTCCACCGATCACATTCTCGTTTCGGTGCCTCGTTCGGCGTTCTCGCCTTCTCGGGGTTTGTTCCCCTCAATTTCCTCTTCATTTCTGTGCCTCTTCACATTCCGGCCTCCCCGGCCATTTCCGACCCTCTCGGGAGTTGACTTTTTAGTTGACTCTTCGTATTCCGACCCGGTTTTCCTTTTCCGGGCCATTTTCACACCATGCTCTACATGGCGGACGACATTCCACGTGTCGGGACTCCCCCGGACCACGAGATGGATCCCGGGGTCGAGCTCTTACCACTGAGCGAGCGCCCGTTCGACCCGGCGACCTACCGGCCGGCGATCCACGTTCTGCCCCCAGACGGCCTGCGTCAGTTCCGGAGCTTTGAGAGGTACGCGGCCCCTGAGCTACTACTACGCGAGCCTACCTCCCACCTTTCGTTTGGCACTTCCGAGGTAATTCTCTTCTTTCTGCTTTACTTTCTGCAATGTATGATACAGAACCGCCATAGTTAGTTGTATTCTCTAATTGCTGAAATCTGATATGCCGTAGACCGTAGTTGACTGTAAACATACATACAACTGATATCTGCTTGAGAGTGACACATGCACACTCACTGCACTAGCCCTGAATCATTAAAACACACTGCACACACTGTATTTCACTGCACACACACTGGTACCCAGTATTTGTCTGAATCTGTCAAACTTGCACACATGCCACATCTGTTCTGAAACACCCAAACACGCTGACACAGCACACGTATTTTACTATAAGCACACCGGCACCCGGTATTTGTCTGAATCTGACAAACTTGCATACATGCCATATCTGCCTTTTCAAAACTGCATGTTGAATATTGTCTTGCAATTGTTGTTTTCTGTTTGCAGGAGGGTTCCCATACCATTCGCGGGTATGGGAATACTGGTGCACGGGAGTGGTATGATGAGCTCCCTGATGCGGTCCAGCGCATCGTGGATCGGGCGGGCTTCGGCACCTTCTGCCGAGGGCTCTTTAGGCTCTCCACATGCAGACCTCTTCTCGCCGCTCTGGCGGAGAGGTGGTGGGACACCACCGATTCTTTCCATTTTTCTGTTGCTGGGAATATGACGATGACCCCTTATGACTTCTCGATGCTCACAGGCATCGGGGTAGGGGGGATCCGATCCCCTTTCGACACAGACATAATGAGTGGACCGCCGCTCAGGTCCATCTACTGGGGAGGCCCACCGCTAGCTCGTCCAGGCTTCGTCCGATATTCCTGGTTCGAGCACAGTTCAGGGTCCAGCTCCGCACTGGGGGAGGAGAACTCAAGATGACGCGAGGAGGACTGGAAGAGGTATGCACGACGGCTTCACTCATTTCCCTGTTCGGAGACTACTATCCTTCGCCCGACCGGGGAACACCGTGCCTGCTCTTGGCTGTCTCAGCGCACTGGTGGACGTCCGGTAGACTATTCTGCACTAACGATCTGGGGCGGTGCTTCTCTATGCCACCCTGTACGGCTATAAAAAAAATAAAAAATATAATAAAAAATTATTAAAAAAAAAAATTAAAAAAAATAAATAAAATAAAATAAAAAAAATAAAAAAAAAATAAAACAAAAAATAAAATATATTTTAATAAATATAAAATTAATATAAAATTAATTAAATTAAATATATGTTAAAAAAAAAAAAAAAATAATAAAAAAAAATAAAAAAAAATAGAAAAAATTATAAAAAAAATAAAATAAATACAATTAAAATAAATAAAAAAAAAAAAGAAAAAAAGAAATAAAAATAATTATATAAATAAAAAAATTATAAATATTAAATATTTTAAAATAAAAATAATAATATAAGATGAATTATAAAAGAATTAAAACTATATAAAAAAAAAAAAAATTTAAAAGTAAAAAAAAAATGATAAATAAAATAATTAAATATAAAAATAATTAAATGATATATAATTAAAATAAAATAAAAAAAAAAAAAAAATTAAAATAAAAAAAAAAAAATAAAAAAAAAATTATATTAAAAATAAAAATAATATAATATAAAATATAAAAAACTATAAAAATAATAATTAATAAAATAAAAATATATAAAAAAAAAAGAAAAAATAAATAAAAAATTAAAATAAATTATTATTAAAAAAAATAGTAAATAAAAAGAAATAAAAATAATAATCATAAAAAAAATAAAATAAATAAAAAAATTTAAAAAATATATTTAAAAAAAAATAAAAATAATTATAAATAAAAAAAAAAAATAAAAATAAAAATTAATTAAAAAAAAAAAAAAGTAAAAAAAATTAATTATTATAATATTATTAAAAATATAAAAATATTAGAATTAAAAAAAAAATAAAAAAAAATTAAAAATAAATAAATAATTAAATAAGTAAATTAAAAAAAAAAAAAAATTAAATATAATAATAATAAAAAATAAAAAAAATATAAAGGTGTAAAAAAAAAATAAATTGTTATAATAAAAAAAAAAGATTTATTAAGGAATAATAAGATATTAATTGTTGAAAAAAAAAATATAATAACTAAAAAAAAATTTAATAAAAATTTATAAAAAATAAATTATAAATATAAAAAAAATAATTAATAAAATATATAATAAATGATTAAAAAAAATAAAAAATTTATAAAAAAATTTATTATAAATTAATAAATATATAAAAAAAAAAAAATAAAATAAATTAATAAAAATAATAAATATTAATATGTAAAAATAAGAAATAATGAAAATAATTATTTAAATATATTTAAAATTAAATAAAATAAAATAAAATTATTAAAAAAACTAAAAATTAAAAATAAATAAATATTTAAAAAATTAAATTAATATTAGTAAAAATAAAAAATAATTAAAATTAAATATAAAATAATGAGCTCGGCTTCTCGTGGCAGCGGCCAGCTGCTTGGAGGTTACTGGCGGGCTTGGGAGGTACATTTTTTCTCCACCTTTTTCACTTCTGTCTCGTACTTTCTGTACCCTGTACACTGCACACACTACGGTCTGCTTTACACTTACTGTATACTGTACACACGACACACACATACATTCTGCTTTACACTGACTGTACACTGCTCACAATCTACACTGCAAACAATACACTGCACAACACACGGCTCTACCCTTTTTGCTTTGTTCTGTATATCCTGCTTTTTCTGATAGTCATACTGACATCTGTTTTGCAGCTGTGGGTTTACGCCTACTTCCCTAGGCTTGCACCCGTGCCAGTTGCGGAGCCACCTCCGGCTGTCCCGTTCTCGAGTCGCTTTGACGGGAGATGCACCCGGCGACCACGGGAGACGTACGGCTTCTTCCGCCGATATTTCGACACCATCACTCCGGCCGAGGTATGCTTTACTTTCAGTTCATTTAACTTCGCTTTCCCACTGCATATTTCAATAACAGTAGATAACAAACTGTCTGTCACTTTCAGATCACATGGCGGCCATGGGCTTCCTTGCCGTCGGCGATGCGGGGTCGGTTCCCTGGTGCTGAGGAGACCTCGCGTTTCCGGATCTTGCTAGAGGGCCCGGTCTGTCGGGCTTGGTACCTGGGGGAGCGTTTTCTACGCCAAACCCACGGGTTACCTGAGCAGATAGTCCCGGCTCACCCTCCTGCAGAGATGAGGGAGATTGAGGGGCTGACCACTGAGCAGCTGGATGATTACTCCATCGGCTGGGAGGAGGCCGGCTTCCGAGGCACCGGCGACTATCAGGAGTACGTGCGGACGTATCTGATGCGTCCCTTGAGCGGCCGTCGAGCAGAGGGGGCCAGGCCTATAGCATCGGCGGCTGGGGCCGGAGCGAGAGCAGGGGCTGGATCTTCGAGGAGGGCCCGGGTCCGTGGTAGGGGCGGAGTGCGAGGAGGACGAGGAGCGGGCTGGCCTGCCCTTCCTGCTGTACTGACTTTTCAGGGGCAGGGTGGGGCGACCTATCAGATCCCCTTCGCCCCTCCACCGGCTGGGCATGAGTTCATTGACATCCCCGACCTTCCGCCGGTATGTATCACTGCACTTCGTACAGTCATTTCATTTCAGTTTACTTGATATTCCACAGAATATTGATGCATCTGATACTTTTGCAGGCTTCTTCTGAGTACACCCGTCAGTCGTTGGCGATGAATGCCTCGATGATGGGGATGCTCCAGCGGACATTTGACCTTCTAGCCGTCTACAGCATACCGGTATGTCCTTCTGACACTGGCCTCAAACCATTCATACACTGCTTTACATAATCTGATGCACGGCACAACACACGATCCACTGATCTCACAGTATCTGACACACTGTATACACTGCATTCTGCACCGTACCCTACACTGACAAACTGCTCACGGCATTCTTACCCTGTACTCACATTCTGCATTATGCACTGTTAAACTGCTCACGGCATTCATACACTGTATTCACACACGGCATTCTGCACTGATAAACTACTCACGGCATGCTGATGCATTTCACTTTTGTGTACTTTTCCAGCCTCCTTTCCAGATTCCCATGGCAGGAGGTGCTCCAGCTAGACCTGCTGTCCCTGCTCGGAGGAGAGATGAGGAGGGCAGGACATTTCCCCGTACCAGGGGAGGGCGTACTCATGTCGGGAGTAGCTCGCGAGCTCCAGTCCCGGACGATGACGACGACGAGGAGTCAGAGGCGGAGGCAGGGTCATCGGAGGAGGAGACCGGAGACGGTTCTAGCTCGGGCTCTGATGACGACGCTGATGATGCTCCTGGACCTTCGTCCAGGAAGAGGACCAGGACGGACTGACAGCCCTTGGAGTCGCTGGACATAGATGCAGATTTTTGCTATCTTTTCTTTCTTTCTTTGTACTTTTCTTTTTGTTGGTAGATAGATTACCTTGTACTGCCGCAGGCAGATTTTTGTTTCCAAAACTTGTACATTTGAAAAGCTAAGTAAATGAAACAGACTTTTTATCTGAAAAAGTGTTCGCATTTACACATTTCATGCATTGCATCGCATCGCATCGCATCATGTTACACCTCGATGTAAATGGAATTGATTGGTTGTCTGAAAATTAAACATTTGCACTGTAATAATCAGATGACTTCAACAGCCAACGGCAAAATAACCCAAGCAACCCACTGCCTGATTCTGGACACACAGCCCTTGCTCTACTGGGGATTAATCTGCATACAGCACATAACACAGCATTCGATTCATTCTGCACACGGCAAACTTCTGAACAAACGGCCCAATCTGTCAGGACGGACCTCAAAGATGGAACTGGTTGGGGTCAAAAAAGATTCAAATGTAGAGAATGGCACAGCATTCTGAGCATAGATGATTTTTGAAATCGAATGAGGGTTTTTCAAACCGGGATATCGAGCCTACAACCGAACACAGCGGGAAGGACTCAAATATAAAGGTACACGACCTAAACACAACGAGACACGCTCGGGAGAGACTCAAAACAAAAGACGAAGCCGTCGAATGAAAGAGACACGACACACAGACGCGTAAACGAAGATGGGAGACCTCGGACCATGAGGAGCCAGTTCAATCTGGGTATTGTTTTCCCACCCTTTCTGATTTGTGATCCTCACATCACTCGGCTGTCAAGCTCGGCTTTTCTCTCAAGACCCTTTTCCTCACTTTTCTCTCAACTTACACCTCTCTATTCTTCAATCTCTCATTCTTCATCCCTCCCCAGGGTGATTGATGGATAAATAGAAAGGTGTGGGTTCATGCTCAACATCGTTAGCTCACAGCAGGAAGTTGCGGGTTCACGCCTGATGCCGTTAGCTCACAGCTATCTCTTCCGGCGGGCAACGTGCTCTTCTGGCAAGTACGTTGATGACGGGGGAAAGACAGACTGCCTGGCTCAACTGTGCCCCTAGTTCATCATTTTAACCATTCTTTCATTTTTGCTTTCTACCAAAACGGTTTTGATCAAAATGATAGTCGGATTAACGTACTTGTTCAATTTTTGATTTGAAAAGCGTGCGAGTCAGGCCGCAAGCACTGAAAATTTTCCTTTTGGGTCCAAGACAATGGTCCAGTTTTGGAAAATGAAATAGTTTTCGAGAAAATA